TCTCTCTCTCTCTCTCTCTCTCTCTCTCTCTCTCTCTCTCTCTCTCTCTCTCCCTCTCACTCGTTTCACGCACCGGCGAAAGAGATTTTCAATGCTAAAGTTAAATGAAAGAAAAAAAGAAGTATATTCTACACTATATATAGTAAGGTTACTATATTCTTAAGCGCTGCGCGAACACGAAGGTTACTCTAATGTGTACCGTTATATTTATCGCTACTTGTACCGCTACTATTACCGCTAGAATGTATTCTAACGCTCTAACTACTGTTACTATATTTGCAGCAACGTGCGAAACTTTTCCGTCTAAAAACATAATGTACGCTCTCGAGAGACACACCCGACACATCCATACAGACGTACACACATATACACAAACACACATATACGTATACACATGGACGTAAGAGAGAAGAAACACACGGACAGAAACACGTACACTTAATAAACGTCAACATCATTGTTTTACGAACTTTCTGTGATAATTATTAACAATCACTAAATGCGAGGAGAAACACTAAGTATGGAGTGAAAAATTGGAAGGAGAGCGAAATGGCGGAAAGTGTAATGAGAAGTGAAAAGGGCTCGATAAAACCGTGTGTGAAGGATAGGAGGAGGGGAAGAGAAGGCGGTGTTGACAGAGACAAAAGGCGTCTTGTTAGGTGATATAAAATTATTGTTCCGTAGTTTGTTGTACGATCGACGATCCGTTGAAATGGTTGCACTTGCTCTGATCCTGCGACACGCGATAAAAAAGAAAAAAAAAAAAGAAAGAAGAAGAGAAGGAGGAGAAGAAAGAAGAAGCAGCAGCAGCAGAGAGCGAACGCAACATATAACGCGACCTCGAGACGTTGCTCGGTTACCACAAAAATCTAAGCGCATTGTTATTTTGTATGATCCCATGCGTTTTTTCTAAATGATGACGACATCGTGACATGCGATATATGATGGTGATTAATAAAAATAACTTCAAGCACAACCGTCTCCCTCCTCTCATATTTTTCCCGACACTTGCCCGCCACGTAGTGTTTCGCTTTCAGGAGAGTTACGGGATCCTCAGACACGCAATTCTTCGGTATCCTGTCGGGGAGAGTGAAATTTTCTTTATAGGATATATTTTCAGGACGTAAGTACCTCTGTTCCCTCTCAATAACGTTAAGTTTAAGAAATTAATTTCGCCCGGAATGCGAATTAAGTTTAAACGTATCCTATGACGCAATTTCCGCGCGGCGCAACATCGATGTCATGTTTACGCCGTATTATAAAGCGGATATATGAGCCGTCGTGAAGAGAGAAACATGTTTAAAAATATTTTCCCCGACGATTATTTATGTTCCATGGTGCAGGGGAAAAAATCCTCCGCTCGAAAGGGACGTCGGATTATCGGATATCTCGTGAAAAATCGAACGACGCAACGCATCGTTCACGTAGCAGCGAGAAAGAAGAAAGAAAAAACGGAAATTAATGGCGTCATTGACTGAGGATGACAGTATCCCGGCAAATGCGCTTTTGCAATATCGTGCTTGCCGATTCGACCCGGCTTACCGCTTGAGCCGTCGCAAGTGCCAGATGCAACTCGTGCAGCTCGTCCGCGCGCCGAATGTCCTCGTTCAGTGCCCGGATCCTGAATCGAATCTCCTGAATAGCCATCTCAGCGATTTTCACTTTCAGCCGCTTCTCCTCAGTCTGCAACATAATCGTTCCTTGTAGTCGCGCGCAACCCCTCTCGCGCAACGGGATTCGCATACTTCCAAGCGATGCAGCATCAGCCGATAATTCAGTTCGTCCCGCAGTCCTGATTGGACCGGATCAATCGTATTCCGATGCCAGGACGCCGCATCTCCTAGCGATCCGAGGCGCACATCAGACATGTCCGCCGAGTCATCCCGTTGATTTCGCGACGTCGCGGCCTCGCTGCGGATTTTCAATTCTTCGCGTCGTCCTTTGTCGCAGGGCGAATCCTGAATATCCCTGGCATGGCAGGCGGCTGGATCCTGCCGCGGAAGATATTCCCCGGATTCGTGCGCGATTCCCCTCGTGGATTCCGGAGTTTCGCTCTGCGATGCGAATCTCGACGATAATACGGCGGGGGAGTCTTTCTTCGCCGGCTCTAATTTCCGGCGCGTCTCAGCCGTGTTCCTCCTGTCGCTAATTACCTCGCCGCGATTATCAGACTGCCGAGGTTGCAGCAAGAAGCAGCGTCCTTTCCCGGCGGCTGGGAAAATAGAGTGATCGCCGGCGTCCTTCTTGCCCGGCGATGCAGCTGGTGGTTGAACGGAGAAATGAAATTTCTTATCGTCGCGACGTGCCGGCAATTTGTCTGCAATCTCGGCTTTCTTTCCCTCAACTTTTTTACGATCGTACTCGCACGGGGGTTGCAAAAACGCCCGCGCAAGAAGCGACGCGTCGACATCGTTCTCCGTCGAATAAAAATCCGTTCGCTTAATTGATCATCAATGCGCCGGTGCGGGAGGTCGGCGATTAAAATTTATTATTAAAATTTACGAGAATAGAATCGAAATGACATTGTCGCAGTTATCGGTCGTTATTGCACGAGTTGGCGGGGTGCGACGTCGATAACGCGAAACTGGCAAAGGAAACTGACGTACAGAAATTAAATTAAATTTTTTCACCTGAGGCGACGGAAACGGTGCTCGAAAAAGAGGAGGAAGTCCTATCTGGCGGGACGTCGCGTTTTCTTTTCAGCTGATTCTTGCTGGGGAATTGTCGGGGACTCCTTTCAGGGCAAATCACCGACACAGTCACGCTATTGTCCGAGACGTCGGTGTTAGACACTATTACCTCCGTGCCTATTGGTTTCTCCGGATTAGAGTCTATCGCACCCGACAACCTTGATTCTCCACAAACCTTACTTGAGAAACTCTTTCTTTGCGAGATCTCCGAGTTTGAGCGATTCTTGTCGGGTGTCTCTGAATCTAAAAGTCGCAACCTTTTGTATTCGGTCGGAATCGTCAGCCTTTTCGTTACTAGTAGCTTTAATTCTTTTTTTTTTCAAATATAGCTCCGATTTAAAAATGTATGATTCCCCACGAACGGAACGAGATTATGTTTTCCAAGTCTCACCGTAACGTCGACTCGAAGGAATTAATGAGAATAAGAACGTTATGTATCGAAAGAGACGAGACGTTCGATCGGGTAAGGTCGTAAAACAGCGGACGAATGAAGAGGTTTCTTTTGGAACTTACAATTGATAGCAATACTGAAAGGTACGCGGAGAAAGTCGTCGGTATTCTTTGATACGCACTCACGGTAAACGAGCGGAATAATAAGAGGGATAAAGAACTGCGCATTATTGAGGCTCGATAAAAGCCGACCGCAGTCTCGGAACGATCGAACGAATCCAAGGGAGAGGCTTATCGACTCAAAAGAACCTGACAGATTTAAAGAAGCACGAAATATTCTTTAGAGCGACGACGATAAGCGAACGGAGCCGCAGTAAGGAACGTAATAAAACTTAGGGTATCTTAGAAACGGCCGGGCGCTTTCATAGAAGAGGTAGCTTATCGTCGCGGCACACGCCAAGAGATCGAAAAACATGCGATATATATATATTTTTTTTTTTCTTCCGAGACGTCTCCCAAAAGCCGACGCTGATAATGATAAAGTGTACGAAATAAATCGTTTATTGTCGTCGCAACGTGGGCCAACGTCGTACAATTAATCGTTGCAACAAGAGTTATCGATAAAGGAAAAAAGAAAATTCTCTACCTTGTTCGCGATATATCGATCGGGACTCGACTTCTTCCTCTCTAATTCAAATAATGCAGCCACCAACCCCGTAATTACGCCGTTTTGTCTCGACTGATCGATGAAAATGAATAATTACAGAGCGCAGTGAGAGACGGGCGGATTAGATTCGCGCGTTATCGCCGCGAGGGAGCTTAAAAACGGAGACATTCCTTTAAAGGGGCGCGATAAGCTCGGAACATACCAGTCGGCAGGATCGGCGTGGCACTTAATTTCCGGAAGAACGTTCCATTATCCCCGTATATCTGACGCTGACGACATCCTGACTCGAGGTTCTGCAGCGACGCGTCGGCGGCAGCAGAAGGAGGGACGGGAGAAGGAGAAACGCAGGCTGATTTCCCCGCGATCTTCGTCTCGAGATTATCGCGATTATCCTCGGGAAGCGCCGGCGTCCTCTCCATCGTTTCTCGCGCGCACTTCCTCATACCCTGCGCGATTTTTCACGAAAAAACGATTTATAGTCTAACTGTGACTACCGTCTGTTTCGTGTTTTGCGAGCCGCGTGCGGAGAATTTTCGTGGTGAGATAATGGCGTGACGATGATGCGATAAGAGAGGACGCGCGAAGCAAGCTCCCGGCGACCTTTGGCAAATATTCAAACGCGTTGGCGATTTCGAGCACGCCGCTCGAAATCGCAAATCCCGCGAGATGTAGTGCGAAAAAAGCGAAAACGATCACCGAACGAGAGACCATCGCTCTTTCGTAATCGCCTAATGGCCCGTTCGGTGACACGCAAACTATCGTATGGTCAAGTTATTATGATTACTATCTCTCTTACACGGAGATTCACTCTCATCCATTTCCAAAGTCTAAAATACGCGTCCACATGGAGAAATAGGAAAGTCGAGGACAACGACGAGAGGAACAGAGCAGCTCCCGCAGGCGACGTGGCGAACAGCCGAAGGCTGCTAATAACGACGGATCGCGGAAAAGACAAGCGCGTCTCTAAACGAGTCGTTTAGCGAATTTCAGGTCGCCCATTGACGCCAATTTCACGTTAATTTCGCGCTAATGCCGCGGACAGCGTACGAGGAAGCGAGAAGGAGAATCGGATTCGCGCGGAGATCGCATACGATTTACCGTCTGCGCTCTCCTGCCGTGGTACTTGTAGTTTTGCCAATACTTCTTCAGCTGTGCCGAGGTCTTGCTGGTGAAGCCAGCCTGATGGAAATCCCGTTCGATCGCACGCCAGATCTCCCTGCGGCCGAACAGCGACGCGCTCTTGTCGTCCAGCAGTGGCCCATACTGGCCCATTATGTTCAACAGATGCAGCCGCTCGTCCTTGCTGAACTGATTCTTCCTCCTGGACTCGTCAGAGCGACACGGCAGCATTCTCGCGCGATTCCTGCGTCCTCTGTCCTGTCGGCCTGCACCTTTGGCGATTCCGCGGACTTGAGTCGCGAGGGCTCACGCGTCAACTCTTAATTCTTTCAGGCTTTTGTTTCTTGGCGAAACGTGCCGTCGCGATGCGCACATTTTTCCATGTATGTAGTGTACTACGTACTACGCGTTCTCGCGGCGCACTCTCGACGAGCGCCGTCGAGGATCCGCGGCTTCTGCCGTTGCGCAAGTCGCTCCTCGAGACCGTATTTTTGCGGGGTTCCCGCGAAATAAGTAGCAACAATTGGAATGATCATATATATGCGGTATTGACGGACCATTTATCTCCTCCTCGCTTCTCCTTCTCTCCCGGCGCGAACAGCACTTAAACGCGCCGTCGATAGCGGCGACGTATCGCCGGTATTGTAATTGTATGCCCAGGGGAGACTCGACTTTCTATCGTCCGAACGCGTCTCCTACGTGATGACTACATCGATATATCGTTATTTGCGCAATATTTACCGTCCTCGGCTTCCTGAAGAGATCTCGCCGAGATCTCGCACGAAAGCGCTCGCGAGTGGGTGTTAGCGCAATTTACGACAGATCGGGAAGCAGTTCTTCGGGAAAAGAATTCGCTCGGCTCTGTTTGCACACAGCAGGGAGAAACCGATGGACGGACGGACGGACGAGGCGCGAAACAAATCACGGCGCCGGCCTCCCTTTGTCCGGCGTTTAAGACGCGCGAACGCGATAAACCCGCACCTACACTCGTCAACGATTTGCAAATTCGACGACGATGGGTCTAACGACAAGATTTCGCAAAAGTACGTCCACGCCGTGCCGCAGCTTCTTTTTCTCTCCTCTCTGTACGCAATAATCGTAATATCCGTAACCTGGGATCGTCCGGCGTTCTAAAAGAGCGTCGCGAGAAAGTGACAGCCGGTCTTTGTGTGCAGCGCGCTAGTGTAAAAGGTCGTAAAACGCAGGCGCGCGCGCGAGCAACCGTCGTCACGGTGAGCGTTCAACAATATCCGCTGATTAATTACACATTTTCTCCGCGGTCGGGACTTTGCATAATCTCGGCGGTGGAACGACAGGTGGTAACCCAGAAAACGAATCGATACGCAGATCGTTCACGCTTCGGGGACTTCAAAGGAGCGCGCTCGAAAATTCGTCCGCGCGGCGCTGTTTAGCGCCTCTCGTCCTTTTCTCCGCGAAATCATTCGCAAAACGCGCCGTCATCTTTGCCGGCGCGTGTTGCACGGCTCGGAATAATTGGCGACGAGTGCGTGCACAATTGCGAGAGAGGACCGCGGATCAGCATTGACAAATAGCAATCAGACAGTGCCAGGGAATGTCGGACGGTGAGAAAGCGCGACGCGCAGCTTTATGGAAAACGATTATCTCGCGCGCTCCAAATGTCGCGGAAAATACGAGTGGCGCATCGATTTTCAGCCGATAAGAACTGCGCAACGGAACAGCGACTGAACAGCGCTGAACTTTATGACTCTGTTCCGCTTGCTTGATACGCACGCGCATTTTCAATCCCGTAATCCCGTTACCATTAATACCCCAGGTCGGCCGGGATTTCCGCCGTAAATCTTTCCGTTTCTGTATTCGCGCGGTTGAAATGAAAAATCTGTGGCGCAAAGGCGAGAGAGAGGCGAGCGCAGTTTTTCAAACGTTACGGCGTAGTCCGAGCTTTGCGCGATTTGAATCGGACAGAATCGCGAATCCGCTCTATTTCTTCCGCAACAGCGACGCGTTATGGAAACGCGCTGTACATAAATAACCATCGGGAAAACAAGGTTGACCACTTTTTGCATGTGCTACTTTGCGATAAAATTTCAAAAATATATAATAACGAATAATTAGGACGGCTCTCGTCGGAATTTCTCGGACCAAGTGCAAATAATTGCCGGATTTGCGTCGCGCAGAAAGGCGACAAAGCTCATCAGCACTTTCGTCACGACGCGACGTCGCGCAAATTAATTCGCGAATTATCGTTTATCGCGATTAGCCGGCGGCCAACGAAATTTGATCCTTATCTGCGATAAGGTCGCGAAATTTCGCATAGGAAGCGCGCACGCAACTCAGTCACTGTATTGTACGGAAGGGAAATCGCTTTCGGATATATCGCGAGATATGAATAACCAAATATGGTTTCATTAATAACTCGTGTGTCCCAATATTTGCATTGTAAATATTTCATCTAGCAAACTAACCGGCAGAATTAACGCACCACAGCGACGTTTCTCACGTGCGTATATTCGCCTGTAATATAATATAAACGCGCACAAATTGCATAGTCAGCCTGAGTAAATGTAGAATTCAATAGAGATAAAAAGAAATAAATAAATACAGAGAAGAGGAAGAAGAGAGATGGAAAGGAAGAGAGAAAGTGTATGTGTGTGTGCAAAAAGAAGGTAGAAAAAGAAAGAAAAAGTTTTCCTTTCTTTTCTCTCAAAAGTCAATCGGAACGCATTTCGCGTCGTAAATAGCCCGCCCAGAAGGCATTTTCACACCTCGGATAAATGCCCATTCAGCGAGTTCGTGGCCGGATGTCGAAAATTGGGCCGGAAGCGATCGGATATTAAGTGCCTGTTAGAACTTGATGATTATCTCGAAACTTGTCCGGGAACAGCGTGTCGCGCGATTGATAGCTATATATAGGGACGGCGGCAGCGCCGGTAATTAATAATCTCGTGCTTCGAAATGGAAGCGCGCGAGCGAGGGTATCCAATCTCAGCTGCTGGCCGTGTGAGGGGGCTTTCGTGTGTTTACGAGGCCCTGTGCGACAAACGCTGCGCAATGATTGATGGACGATGGTTGGGTTATCACGAAGCCGATATGACGACGGCGAGACGCCCGACGCGTCGCGTTTCGACACGCGCTTCGCGCGCGGGACATAAGGCAGTCGGGATCTAACCGGATTGTGTAAACGGCACCGGCGTAATGGGTCGACTAATACTCTTACCTTTGCGACTCCGCGTCCGCGGATACTTGAACGAATCGCGCGCACAATCAAGCGGGGACGCGATCCGGAATGGAACGCGGGAGAGGGACGACGGTTTCCCGACGAGATAACCGTTCGATCGCGTTTTTCCTTCGCGCCGTTAAAATCGAGCTTTTAATGCCGTGTATACTACGGGCGCCTGACGGTCCCGATATTATTGTCGAGAATAATTATTTCTCCTCGAAGCATAAACGCCTCCCGTGTGCTTTCCGCCGCGCGCATTCGCCGTCACATTCATTACCGTCGATCCGCATTCTTACTGCAGTTTAACGTCAAACGCGATTGTTTAATAGCCGCCATGAACAACAGTAAACTTCTTACTCGGAAAATATAAGATGACAGAGAATATAAATTGCAAAACGCGGAATAAATAACTTCATCTCTTCTCGTCCTTCAGATTCATGTATTCATAATTATGCCCGACTCTATCCTGATTCTACGTGATAGGTCTTGCCTTTCTTCTCTTCTTCTTTTTCATATTTATGTCTTATTTCCACACATGTTTGGCGTGTCTGCAGCTACCTTCATTATTCCTGCCACTACCTTCATTATAAGTAACACGCGTATTTCTTTCCTTCTTTCAACCAATCTCTACAAAGTGCACGGTTTTAAGGCGCGTAATAGCGCACGAGCCCCGGACAATTTTTTCTCCGTAATTGTTCGCGTGCGAGATGCGTGCACGGTGGTAATTGCTGGGGCACTTTATGGTTTTATTATTTGACGCAATGACGTAATGGCGAGTTATACCCGGGAGAGTTATGATAACGAGGAGTAATTATATAGGCGCAGGTAACACGTCCATTACATCGCGATATTGTTTTGCCGTCGAGAGGCGGCCACCAGGCGAGCGTTATTGATGAATAAAATATGGCCTAAATAAAAAATTACTTTGCGGGCACGCGATAAACGCGCGCAATCAATTTTGTGATTTCATCCCTCTCAGCTCTCCTATTTCCAAACGCGGGGCGGCCTTGCGAGCAAAGCGACGTCGAAAGCACGTCGAGGGAAAAATAAAACTCACGAGGCATGAAACGTATGTGTAATCGTAGATTATCTCGTTAAATTCCTTGACCGTCGTTGAAAAACGCATTTCGGCTCAGCGCAGCGCAGCTTTCGACGCGGATATGTCGGAAAACGGCAGCGGGGCGATTCCGAGCGCACCAATAAGCTAGAACGTTCCCTTTGTCCGGTTCCTGGCGACGGTTGCCACGTTGCTTAACCGATAATTACCGCAGGCCGCGATGGCGCACGCGAGAGAGGGAGCGAGCGAGAGAGTCCGGGAAACAGAAAGAGAGAGAGAAAATTCTAACCACGTCGTAAACTTTTTCCAAACCTAAAACACGTAACGAGCACACGGGTGAGTGAGCGAGCGCGCGCGCGACTTAATTGCACTCGCAAAACCATCTCGACGTACCGATGCAGTCTTAAGGGTCGTCTACAATGTGGTCGCAATTACGTCTTAAAGTCGTGACGCTAGGATCGCTCATACACCAATTTCCTTCGCGCAAATTCGTGAAAAATGAAGAACTTTATTGAACTAGTCAATGAGACTTATCATTTTTCATGAATTTACACGAAAGAAACGGATGCATGATCGACTCTACGATTTTGAAACATAGACTGCGACCGTGTTGTAGACGATCTCTCAGGGGTTTACCTGCGCGAGGTGCGCAGGTGGCAGCACGCTTTGCGTTGCATCTCGCGCGGCAGCTGTTGCACTTTGTTGCGTCTCGCGGAACTGCGCGCATGTAGACACGCGAGAGGCCGCGGAGGCTGTGTGAAATCTATTCCCGAAATGTCCTCGTGGAATACGCGCCGGCAAGAAGTCTAATGACACGTAATGATGTATGATGGGCAGTTGCATCGGCGTACTCGTGTCGCATTTACCACCCTCGCGAGCCCCGCGGCGATTTGACTGACTGCCGCGTCGCGGAAACGCGCTGAATACTTAACACGGCCGATTGCCGTACAGCGGACAGATATTTGACTGTTGAATTTCACACGACACCAGCGATGCCCTTTTTCGTCTCTCAAGCGACGGGACGAGTCCCACGGAACGTTCGATCCGCGCGTTCAGTTAACGTGTGTCCGGCGTGGACTCGTCGCGCGCACAAATATATTTTCGCTTGAATTGTTACGTCAACTTTCTCTTTTGTAAAGTCCCCGTTCTGCCTCTTTCTCGGTTAAAAGCCAAGCCGCCAACAAAGCGACGAATTTTGTCACGGGTTCAACTTTTGTCGCTTCGCTATCCGAAGGCACGCCATTCACAAGTTGCGCGAAATGTAAAGTGCGAGAAAATTATTTGCATCTGATCGAAATTCAGTGTCTCCGATTTCGTATTCCCTTCGTAGGTTTTCGGTATAAAATACCGAAATGTTGAATCACGCTTGACCTTGCAATAAGTTTTGCGACAACGACGTGCATTATTGCAATATCACAATGAACAGGAACGTAACAAGAGAAAATTAAGAGTTAATTCGCTGATATTGTCGCGTACAATTCTAACAAGTTTTTTAATAAACGACGAGAGAGGATTGTAGGACAATATACGTTGCATCGAGCGCATATATAAGAGCAGTGAAATTTCTTCATTACTTCATTAATTTAACTAATACTACAGCTGTCACATGTAATTACCGCAGAATTCTAAACAGCGTGTTTCTAAGACGCACGCTGCAAGTTACATAAGGATAGTCATACGACCCATCCGTCAAATAAATTATAAACAGGACAAACGAGGTCGCACCCGGAAAATTCACTCCCCCCGGGCATAAGAGGCGGAACATCGTATTTCATCTGTGAGGAAAAATAATAGGTTTTCCATCGCGCGCCAAATTAGGAACGCACTTCGTACCCGGAAAAGCTCACGCGTTCGAAGCGTCCTCGCTCCTTGTAAGGGCGACGAATCTGCGTACGCAGGAGTTTATAGATTATCGTCATTATTCCCAAACGTGACTGAGAAAATCGCGCTTTCTTAAGCACGCACGTGAGTCTCAGGAAGCGACGCTGTAGATACGATAATAGCGCGCGTTAAATCATTTAAATCGTCGTTTATCGATTTATTTCGTTTACTTCTACTAGGACGGGATTTCATCGTGTCGTCAAGGATATAGGATACACGATGCTATTTTTGTAAAGATGAATATTCTTGGTCTTTGCCCCAAATGTTATTTATGTCCCTTTCGGATACGCGATATTCTTGTCTTTTCCAAAACTAAACTAAGTGAACGCGAGATACCTATTGCTACATACAAAATCAATTCTGTTTCCTCTTATAAAGAGAGCATGTGTGCTAAATTAAAAGATCATAAAATATATGAAAAGTCGTGAGCGCGCAAATAACATCTTGTACCGCATTTTACGCGATATTATTTTTCTTTCTTCAAATAATAATGCGTTTATACACGGAAAGAACAATTTTGTTGGTGCAACCGAATTTTCGGTTGCTCAGGGATCAGGCGAAAACTCGGCTGTAGGAATAGAAAAATTCCTTTATGAAGCTTTTGTATAGTCAATTGTTCTCAGTTGTCTCAACCGAGTTCTAATATCGTTGAGTGTTCAGACAAATATTTTCGGTTGCGACAACAGAAATATTAGTTTTCATAACAGAGATGTCACTTCTGATCACCTAATTTTCAATCAAATGGTTCCTATTTGGTTGCACCAACTGAGATTTTTTTTACATGTATATCGTAAAGAAATTGTGTCTATTTCTGCCGCCGTTGGTTCAAAGTCGACGCGTTTATTTTCATGTCATCTGTAATGGAAACGACAAAAACGTGCAATTAATTTTAGAAATTTAGCGAAGGAAATGGGCGGGACGTCGAATGTGGAATATTTTCGCCTAATGCAATTTCGTCAGCGAGTGCTTTTTTTCGTGTCTCCACGTTGATGATAAAATTACGGCAGGCTCGGGTGATGGCACGCTCTTTCTACAGAGCGCCTAGGTAAGGGGGTACAATACCTATATAAAGCTTGAATGAAGATGCTCCCAGCTATTCACTCTCACCTTTCTCATAAGCGCGCGCACGACGCGAATCTTCCGACCGAATCGCAGAAGAAAGATCGACTACGGCTACCTGAGCAGTAATTCCTCGCGGAAAGGATTTCGATTACAGGTGAGTCTCGATTTTAACATTCCTATAAATGTCATATCAATGTACGTTCAAGTAAAAAGACGGATATCCTGATTTATAAAATATTATACTCATGCCGCTCTCGCGTACTTTCTAACCGACAATTTCCTTCGTGCACCGCAGACTGTACATCTTTATTATTTTAACCAAGTATATATGATTAATTGCTTATTTCCGCCTTTACAGTATGTTGAAGCGTAAGTGTCAATGTAATGTAGTGCATGTGTGTGCGTATGTGTGTATACGTGCCTAATGGATCTCCATTCGTACGTCGCGGCAATTTATTTAACGATTTCCTTAAACGTTAAGCAAATCGAGACGCCGTGGATCCTCGGAAGACGACGTCGCCTTCCTATTTCAACCTGGCATTAACTTTAATAGCGTCTTTCACAAGCAGCACTTATCCCACACTTTTAGAAATTGTGTGTACATTTCGATCGGAGAGATCGCGTGCACGCGCGCGCGACACTCGTGTGTTTGTGACATAAACGAATTTTTTATATATACTTTTTTTTTAACGCAACCGTTCTGAAGAAGTCGCGTGCGCAGCGTCTCTCCTCGATGCGTGCGTGATGTCAAAGCCGCGAGCGAACCTCAGCCGAGATAGAAAAGAGAAGCGAGTGTGAGAATCATTGTGCGAGAGTGAGAGTGAGAAATGATGATTGCTCGTTTTGGTCACCGCATCCTCGAAGAAAGTGAGTACACATGTGAACATACGGAGATGTACGCGCGGGCATACGGTACGCATCGCGCGAATACACACTTGTTGCACGCACACAGTGTATGCAGATGCCGCGTCTTCTTGTTTTCGAGTACCTCTGACGAGTAGCCAAACGTGTCGAGTATCGCGAAACAAACTCTTGTCGCGAAGTCTTGGCCGATAATTGTCTCAATTCTTCCTCAAACCGTCGCTATATAAGAATAATTGGAAATCTGCCTTCGCGCCTCACACATGTAAGGAAAGATCTTGGAACAACGTCGCGTCGGGAAATATATAGAGGAGTTCAATATTTTTACCTTCTCACGGGGACTCCGAGTAAAGCAACATCAAACTTCGAGAGCGAGCGTATTCTATTTTTCCAATCGTGACGCGCGCGAAGAAGAAGAAGAAGATAAAATCACGACGTCGCTCGTTCGTGGTAGAAATCATTTCACGTTATATCTTCCACGCAGCTGGTCACAAACGCGAGTATCGAAGCACGAGAAATGATTATCGGGATTTTTGTTGCACACGCCTCGTGACATTTATCTTCCTAGATTAGACGTTACGAAACGCGCAAGGGAACAAGGAGAGTTTGCGACATCTTCGGCAACCCCTCCTTTTCCTCTTTTCCCCCTTTGTACCTCAATAAAACTATAAACGCAGTGATGCAAGGACGAAGAAGATATCGTGAGGTTTCAACCTGTTCCACGCTACACTCGCGAGTTATGTCACTTTTCTTTCTGATGGAGTAATTATTCACATCGCTCAATTTGCGCCGATCTCCCGGCACATCGCGACGCGGTTACATAGAACGATGGATTCGTTACGACATCTGAGATGTGAAAAAAGGCAATTCGTCCACAATTTATCCGTGAAATGACACAATTCGCGAACCTGGTACATGAACGATCCACGAGAAATTGTGCAATGCACACTATGTAAAGTTTCCAGCAAAGTCTCGCCGGCATTACCGATCCGATTGATCTGAGAACCGAGAGAAATCATCCGCAAGAAAAACCGTAATGCCGCCTGACTCTGGATATTTCCCGATACGTTCCTTAATGTGACTCGCGCGTCGCCCAGATGCACACGTTTTGAATATAACGGCTTCGCAAATAACTATAATTTCAATCGCAACGAATAAATCTGTCGTCGTTGAAAAGAAAGCGATTTTGTTGCTCGTGTCGCATCGACAGGTCGATGGCCCACTTGAGAAAGACGCGGCGGTCCAGAGGGATATTCGGCTCTCTGGGCTAGATATATAATTTTTTTTTCAATTGCCAAAGAGGCCTTTGTAAGCCAGGAATAATGCAAACTCTGTCAAAATCGATTTTCTCTCGCGACAACGGCGGCGTTGCGGACGAGACACTACTTGAATTTTGCCGAGAGTGCAAGCCCTCCCGCGCCAAGCACAACTTTTCAGACCGATTTCATCTCATCAAAATTGCATCGCGCAATGTCTACTACGTCGCGCTTTTCACGTCGCAGTCCTACATAGTGACGTCCTTTCGCTAGCCACGCCGCTCAAGATGCGTTTTCTACGGAGCTACATAATAGAGTGTGTGTAAAGATTGACAAAAAATCGAGAACGACGAGGGACGTAGAGGAGGACGCAGAGAAGGACGAGAAAGAGAGAGAAAGAGACAGAGAGAGATGTGTGATAGCGGAAAAGAGAGAGGATGGATGGACCACTCTCATACGCGCCTGAGGAATACTAAATGTCAATGAACGGGCTTGAAAATGCGCAGCGTCCCACCGTCTGAAGAATTTAACGGCAAAGGTTCGCGCTTTCCCGTCAAGGGGCCACGCGTTTTTGCGACCGTGCAAAAATTCGCCGGCGCGTGGCGTATGTTGGAGGATGAATTGTCTCGGCGTGGCGATCCGCAGCGGCGAGTCTCTGCCAAGTGACTATATATGCGTCTTTGGTTGACGAGTAAAAAGCGCGCAACGAAATGTACTCGCAACAACACAGCAAACGTGCGCGCCACTTTTTCCCTCGCAAATACGCGAAAAGCGTTTCTCGCGGACGCGATGTTCGAGAAATCGAAGGGCCCCGACAACGACGATGCCGGCGTGTAAATCGTCCAAGAGAGACGAAGCGACTTAAAACGCGTAGGAGGATGGAGAAGATGTTAGATACGTCGATTAACACGGTCAAGGAATTCCGCTCGCGCAATTTTTGCCGAACGCGGTGCTTCATGCCGCCGCAATGAAATCCCATTTTCCCGACTATCTCTCCCTCCCTCTCTCTCTCTCTCTCTCTCTCTCTCTCTCTCTCTCTCTCTCTCT